GTGGGCCTGACGGAATCACCCCAATTGTGCTGAGGACGTATGCTCCAGAGTTGGCACCGGTTTTAACGCGTCTTTTTCGGTACTCCTACTCCCTAGGCGTAGTCCCAAAATCATGGAAGACGGCTTTTGTCCACCTGATCCCTAAAAAAGGCGACCGCTCAGACCCGTCCAACTACCGGCCTATCGCCATCACCTCCTTGTTCTCCAAAACAATGGAGTCCATTGTAAACTGCCAGCTCATGATGTACCTTGAGGATCACCAGCTGATTAGTGACCGCCAATACGGTTTTCGCCGTGGTCGGTCAGCTGGTGATCTTCTGGTCTACCTAACTCACAGATGGGCGGAGGCAGTAGAGTCCAAGGGGGAGGCATTGGCCGTTAGTTTGGACATTGCGAAGGCCTTCGATCGGGTTTGGCACAAAGCGCTTTTTTCGAAGGTCCCTTCCTATGGGCTTCCCGAGAAATTGTGCGATTGGATCACCAGCTTTCTTGCAGATCGGGGCATCAAGGTCGTTGTAGACGGTGCAAGCTCCGATTGCAAGCCTATTAATGCTGGTGTTCCACAAGGCTGCGTGCTATCGCCAACGCTGTTTCTTCTGCATATCAATGATATGTTGCAAACCCGTAACATTCATTGCTATGCAGATGACAGCACTGGTGATGCTTTTTACACCGGCCGAGCCAATATTTCTCGGGAAAACGTCTCCGAGTGCCGGGACACACTTGTGTCTGAAGGCGAGTCTTTGCTGAACAGAGTCTCGGATTGGGGGCGACTAAATCTAGTCCAGTTTAACCCCCAGAAGACACAAGTTTGCGCTTTAACCGCTAAAAAGAACCCCTTTGTCGTATCTCCTCAGTTTCAAGGCACTCCCCTTGTTGCCTCAGCCAGTATCGGAATCCTCGGCGTCGACATATCGAGTGACGTGCAGTTTCGTGGTCACTTGGAAGAGAAGTGGCCAAATTGGCCTCTAAAAAGCTTGGCGTGCTCAGCAGAGCGGGACAGTATTTCATGCCGGCACACCGCCTGCAACTTTACAAGGCGCAGGTTCGGCCGCACATGGAATACTGTTCCCATCTCTGGGCTGGGGCTCCCCAGTACTAGCTCCTTCCACTTGACCGCATCCAGCGCAGAGCGGCTCGAATCGTCGACGACCGAGTGTTTTCCGATCGGCTCAATTCACTGGCACTGCGAAGAGATGTTGCATCTCTTTGCATTTTCTTTCGCATATACCATGGAGAGTGCTCTGAGGAATTGTTCGGATTAATCCCAGCCGCCAAATTTCGTGAACGCACTACGCGGCAAACGTCGGTATACCATCCACATCATCTGGATGCTTTGCGGTCCACCACTGTACGTTTCAAGAGGAGTTTTCTTCCGCTTGCAACCTCTCTATGGAATATTTTACCACCAGCGATTTTTCCGGACCGATACGACCTGGGGACCTTCAAGAAAAGAGCGTACTCCTTTCTAAAGGGCCGGCAACGCACCTGCAATTCCCCTGGTGTTGCGGTTGATTATGGGCGGCGGTAGTCACTTAACATCAGGTGAGCCGCATGCTCGTTTGCCCTCTCTTCTACATAAAAAAAAGAAAACTAATATAATCAGAATTTATGACTTTTAATTTTAACTCTAAGGGCTCAACGGATTTGTGGACATTTTCGTTCGAAGTTACATGGTAGTCAGTTTGACATTATAATAATAAAAACGTTCGTCTATAAAAGAAAATATACTGAGTGACTCACACACCTATCAACGCACAGTCCAAGTATAGACATAGAATTCTGAAATTAGCTGTACATTTACAATTACATTAGCTGTCATTTATGACGTATGCATCTAATAAGAAAATATTTTGAAAAATTAAAAGAAGATGAAACAGTTACATTTTGTATGAAAATTTTTATTTTACAGGCCGATTGACTCGAAATTTATTACAGGTGCTCTGGCAACAAAATAAATGAAAAAAATATTTAGTTATTTTTCAAAACAACCCCTTACGGTGTACGGTATACGTGTACGGTACTAGCATTGACTTATAAATTACTAGGGTACTAGTGGGAGTACAAATATTTTTAAAAGGTTAGAAAGAAAGTGCATAAAACTGGGACAATAGGTTCCTTTTGTTACGTAGGCATCCACTAAGAAATTATTTTCGGAAAATTTAACCTCTAATATGGTAGGTAAAACTTACTGAAAATACTCTACAAATAAAATAAATGAATACGTATTATGCGATTTTTCAAAACAACGCCTTGCGAGAGGCTTTACGAGAAAATAATTAATATGTTTATATTTACAATGGTGTAAATATTCTTGAATAAGAGAAATAAAATATTAATTTTTTTATTTTTTCGAAAATATTTCAAAAGCAGAATGCAAAGTATGTATAAAAATATTTTATTGAAACGCACAGCCCAAACTAGAGGACGTAGAAGCGTGAAATTGGTACATTAGCTTCCTCTTGTCCACTAAGAAATGATTTTGGACAATTCTAAACCCTAGAGGGTAAAATAGGGTATTACTGTTTGTAACGCACACGACACGACGTTGGTTTGTACGTACGTTTTACGGGAAGATTTGTATGGAGAATAATTATTAAATAATTTTATAACTTTGGACGCGTACAATTGGATTAAAATAATGAAATACGTATTTTTTAATTTTTAATTGTTAAGGAGAGGGTACATACATTGCACGGAAAAATGGTTTTTTAACTTGCATGTCGTCTGTACGCTAAGACTTTTCTAGGCTAGGCTCTTTCAGGATTTGGTCGTTAGGAGATAGATTTTTTTAATAATTTAATGCAGACTCGGCTGGATATAATTATAAAACCATAAAGCTTATTAAGTGGAGTGACGACCTGGTTGGTTGTAGGTCGTAAATGGATGCAAGTGGCTCAGGACCGTGCTTTGTGGCATTCTTTGGGCAAATGAGGATGATGATGATGAAAGCTTAGCTTATTCAGACATGGACATGAAAATGTTTATTTTTGGAAGATAAGCTATTATTTATTATGCTATTTATTGGGTTATTTCAATATGCTACCGTTTTTTTTTTCTGTTTTATATACTTACTTTTGGTAAGATCAATATATAAGAAAAAAATAGGGGTTAGTATTGAAAATAAAAACTTTTATGACATAAAACCTAAGCACTAATTATATGCTTGCTGAATACAATGCTAGTAATATGTTGCACATTTTACAAATTAGGAAGTCTCACACTCTGCCTGATTTGTAAGGATTACTACGTCCCTCGATCGATGTTCATTGTAGCCAATACACCTTTGCTTTACTAATTTTTCCATCAATCTTTTAAGCCGCCTTAGGAAATGCCGTTCTGGTGTAGTTTTTGTGATCGGCCCTATTGGATCTCTACTTTATTCGAAGGTTGTTGTGGTGCTATTACAGCTAGTAGCCGTGTCGTGTTTACATCCACAAGTTTTTTGACAATATATGATTGTAAGAGTTGCTAAATTTATTAGGAGGGTTAATATTCTTAACCATTCATTTGTATTCAACTTCTCTAATGTTCATGTTATAATCTAAAGTGTATAATATATCTTCGTGGAATATTTGATGTTGCTAGCCATAGAGTATTTAATATCTTAGTGTAATTATGTATATATTTGAGATAATAGCTACGTTTTATTGCCAGCCGGAAATAACAGTAAAAACCAATTATTTTTCACATTCATATTGGGAAGATCCTGCTGTCTATCTCCTGTTTCAGTTACCCTCTGTTACCTCTTTTGACAACAAAATTTTGAAAATTCAACTTGCGACACTGTTGGAATTACTTAATCTAACTTAACGTACTTTTTATTTCAGTTAATAGGAAAATAGACACACGTCTGTAGATGTAACACTCTTAATCTTAACGTTGTTAACATGCAAATTAAGCTTAAATTCCGTCATTTAGACTATCCAGTCCGATTTAACAGCTTTACATGTCTTTCACTATTCCTATCCCGAAGGTGGTTATTCTCACTAACGAGCCAGCACTAAGCCGTCGCAAGGATCGCGTACATTTACCTGACAAAGTATACAGCATTTTCTTTACATTTATTGAAATAAAGAAAATTCTGGAATGAATTGAACATTGTTTCGGTGTAGTATATCAAACCTGTTACCTATTTCTATTGCTAAGAGCAAGAGAAGCAGAAGCGTGAATAGTGATTTAAGGTGAGTTAGAGTATGGAGAGGGCTATGCTCGGGGTTTCTCTGCGTGATAAACTTAGAAATAAGGATATCTGCAGTAGAACCAGAGTGACGACATGGCCCAACAGATTAGTAAGCAGAAGTGGCAAGAAGAATCGACAACCGTTGGGGTAAAAAGATTCTCGAGTGGCAGCCTCGTACCGGTAGGCGAAGTGTAGGGTGACCCCCCACTAGATGGAGCGACGACCTGGTAAGACATGCGGGAAGTCGATGGATGTAGTGGCTCAGGACCGTGCTTTGTGGAATATCTTGGGGGAGGCCTATGTTTAGCAGTGGACTTGTGAAGGGCTGTAATGATGATGATGATGATGATGAGAGTATGGAATGCTAACTCGTTGTTCATTCTAATGTTACAAGAAATCGACGTGGAGATAATGAAAATAGACGTACGCATTATTATAAAATTAAACAAGAAATACATGCAATAAAAACAGTTTAATAAAAATGTTTTTAAATTGCATAACTTTTAGTTGGGAATATTATACACATAAATTCCGACGATATACTGTCATATTATCAATATCTTTGTTATGATTTAAATAAATTCGCAAACTGACCAACAAACAAACACATATTTAAATAATGATCTATACATAAAATATGGTCTAGTAAATCGTATGCATAACACACTGTCACGATGTGCGATATTAATTACGCTACGGAAATAAAGTTATCTTTACTCGTACGTCGTATACGTATGAACGCAACCCCGATACAAGACCGCTGGTTATTTCAAACATTTTACAATTAAAATGATAAATAACTTATCATATCACTTACCTTGTGCCATTTTTCAACTCTGCTACGTGAATGTCGACACTGTACTGACATACAACTCTTCGAAGCCTTATACTCATCAGTAATTGCATTATCTGCTTTGTCTGTTTCTATAACACATCGTCAAAATTCCACGTAACATGTTGAAAACTTTGTAGTGCACGAAAATAAACCTTATCTGCTTGCGTTACGATTTAATAGGATAAAGATGCGTGTTTAAGTAAATAATGGATATAACCTGGTGATCCACTAAATGAATTAATGCTAGAGATTTTACATAAACAAATATATCACAATATAATTATAGAATGTAACTGTGGCCCTGTTAGCATCATAAATCGATACCTTAACTTACTCTATATACTTTATTAGGTATACAACATTTTAACAAAAAATACATAACATAACAACAAAATACATAACAAGACAATAATTAAATATAAGTAATTAAGTGCACTTGAAGCAATGTTTATCATATTATGTTGCTTTACGTGCAATAATTGGTATCAAATAATCACGTTACATCACAACACGCATACTGCAGCTATATTAGTAGTATAGTTGTAGCACGAATGGGTCGGCTCAACCGGGGATGGACAACGCTATCATAGAATACCAGCGTAAAATAGCGGCTCGATGCTACTGTGTTTCGTATAGTAAATGCAGAGAACAGAAGAACCTTTTTACAGAAAACGAGGCATTCTCAGTCCTTACGGGTATAGATGTAGATGTCTATGAGCTACACTTACCATCATTTAAAGTTATGACAAATACTCCGAAGTTTTAAGCTATTGCATAGCTTCTATCGCGGGCCTTGAGCGCGGGGACCGAATCCAGAAATTCCGTAACGAAAAAAAACCTCACGCTCCCCACTCCGACGGGGACGGAGGTGTGGCGTTGAAAGCCGTGCATCGTCTAACGTCGTTTCAGTTCGGCAGATTTCGGCCCTCGGCAGACTTCGGCACGGTGTTTGTGTGCGTGCGACTAGACGTATGCGTGTACACTAGCTGCTAACTCAATGATAAAAATTCCTGAATAACCTACATGTATTGTAAGATATTAAAAATATTTTAAACAATATTAACTTCTCATTTATTCAATAAGAGAAAAATAATTGTTTTCTTATCGGTCACCACGCTCAAAAAGTGTAACTTGATTTAATATCAAAGACCTTAACTGCATAAATAAAATAAATAAATAATTATAATTGCATAAGTCGATAAAAAATGCTATGCAATAGCTTTACCGCGGCAGTCACCGAGTGCCACACGCATTTTTTTTAACAACTATTATAAGCAAGTGTTTGACTTCTATTCACCATAAGTGATGTAAGGCATTCAAAGGTGATAAAGCGTACTAGATTAAAAAGTTTATTTATACTTGCTTTGAAGACACTAATATTGTAATCGGATGGATGAATAGATGACTGCAATTTATTCCACTAATTTGCTAAGCGCAATACAAATAACTAAGCAAATCGTTTGGTTCGGATACATGGTATGTTGACAACAAAGGGGTGAAGACCAGCCAAGCGTCTTACGGTTCAATGATGAAACAGAGAGGAAGGAATTAATTCATACTTTACATATACTTTATACGTAGTAGAGCCACGTTGCAGCTACATTATGGTTCAATTCAATTCAATTTATTTGCTATTCTTTGGTGGTTGGAGCTAGTGTTGCACAAAATCGGTATTAGTTTTACAAACTTGGTCTTGCTCTGGCATTTTTGCAAGGACCAAGACCGACACTGACCGTGTAATCGAGCATACAGCTCATCTGATGGTAAGTGATTACCGCCGCCCGCCGTGACGAACACTGCAACACCACATACACTACATTGTTATTTTCTGTCCTAATTACAATAAGAAATTTACACATATTTTGGACAATAATTCATATTCATAGTTCATACTTTATACTTTACGCATTTAATAATAGGTCTTGAAACTATGAAATTGCCATCAAAATAATGTTTGTTCAGTTAAATTACATTTTAATTTTATTTTAAAACCATTATATTTAACACCCCAGACGGGGTGGATAATCGAAATTCGTATATTATTTTTCTTCCGATTTTCCCCTTGGCTGAGTACATTCGTTTATAAAAACACGATAGAAACTGGTCCATGATTACTTAGACATAGTAGTAGATATTAGCATACTTATAAAAATAGATACATACTTCTCATTTAAAGGGTCAAAACTGAAATATTTTTAATTGTTGAATTATATATAATTCGAAGTAACATAATTTACGTCATTTTGGACATATTTATGATGAAAGAAATGTTTTACAATTAGCAATTTAAATTATATTTTATAGAAGTAGGCGTATTTAAATTATATAAATATATTGTTACCTAATTCCTTAAACACATTATTGGAAATAGTACCGTACTTAAGAAATTTTAAAATGACTTTTATTGAGAGACAAATTTATACAGGATATACAGTTACGTCTACTAAAAGAGATTTAAATATATATTACCTACTCTACTAAAATGTCTTTGCGTCTACTCAATAATGAAATCAGTGTTGGTTATTTTTTGGAGATAGTGCAGAATTCATAAATTTCTTGTTATTATTTAAAACAAGTAAGTTTAATTTGTTTTAAATGCAATACCTACTTAATATAATTTTTGTTTAAGTTTGTGGTTATTACAAAAATATCAATAATATGTTAAAGTATGAAAATATTTTATTTTGAACTATACTTAGGGTGGAAAGGCGGAACAACAATCAAAAAGTGAATTCTGATTATCCACCTCACCTCACCTATTCGTCTAGGGTGAATAAACGAACGCGCGTTTCCAAAAATCCACCCTAGGGTGGATTTTAAGTGTGGATAAACGGAATAGCCCCTAATTATGGAATATGTGTACCGTCGTGACAGCAACGCGGTACAACGAAGTTTACGGAGCGAATACTACAAACGAACTCACCACCTGTTTGCCCGCTTCTGTTCAGGAAATTTTGACCTGAAAAATGAACTCCGTGGTCGTCCGAAAGCTTTGTTCGACACTGAAGAATTAAAGGCGATCGTGGAAGCTTAAAACTCAATCAACGGCTGAATTAGCAGCAACTTTCGCCGTTAGCACCAAAACAATATTGGTCTATTTGCGTCAAATTAGCTAAGGTAAAAAAGCTTGAGAAATGGGTGCCTTACGAATTCAATGATCGCCAGTGCGAAGTACGGTTCGAGACGTGCTTTGTACTGGTGAACGGACTCATAAACTAAGGAGTTTTGAATCGCATTGTTGCCTGGGACGAAAAATAGATTCTGTTTGACAATCGCGAGTACTCAGCAAATTGGGTGGATCCTTTCTTATATAGGATTAGGGTGACAAACGAGCACACAGACCACCTGATGGTAAGTGGATGCCGCGGCCCATAGACATCTACATTTAACCTCGATTAAGAATCAAAATGCAGATGCGTTGTAACCCCTGAGGACTAAGATGGAATGCCTCGATTCCAGTAAAAAGGGTCTTCCGGTTCTTTACACTCACCATACGAAACAGCAACATTAAGCTGCCATTTCACGATGGTATTCTGTGAGAGCGTGGTCCTTCCCCACGCATAGACATTCATGCTACAACCATAATATAGCTGCAGCGTGGCTCTACCTTGTTGAGCACTTAAAGAATGCCCGAAATAAAAACTACCCCTATAAAAGTGATGGTCTCTGTTTGGTGGTCTGGCACCGGTATGATTCATCACAGCTTTTTTACCAAACGGGATAACCATTATTGCAAATGTGTACTATGAATAACTAAACCCTAGGTCAATGATGGAGAAGCTCATACGCTTACAACCAACTTTGGTCAATCACTCATCCCCGCTGCTCCTGTATGACAACGCCCGACCTCATATTGCACAACAAACGTTCTCCAAGTTACAAAAGCCGGGGTTGGAAGCTCTTCGTCAACCGCCGTACTCACCAGACGTTTCGTCTACAGAGTTCTATTTCTTGCAGAATTCGGATAACTTTTTGCCGAAAAATTCAATACCCAAGAGGCAGTACAAAATGCCTTTCAAGAATTTTTTGCTTCCCGTCCAACTGATTTCTTCAAGAAACTCAATGAACGGCCAATGTGTTGGCAAAAATGCATCGATTGCACGGGTGATTACTTTCATAAATAGAATAACAAAATATAAAAAAAGAATTACGTTAACTTATTTCATAAATAAACGGCAATTTCTCGGACAAAGACATACGTAATATTTCACATTATGCATGTGGATCGAAGCACTGTGATTGTGAAAGAACATCTTACAAATGGAAATGATTACATGAGCGTATTAAAAATTTGATCGAGTTAGGTCTCGTTTCTGAAAAATAAAATTTCGCGCATTGTGATTGTTACTTTCACCACAGAAATTATCTTCAAAATAGCTTAATGGTTAGAGCATAGGGTCGTAGAATGTACCGTCGTGTGTATCTGTCGCCTGAAATGTGGGCAGTATGTTCAGTTTTATCTTTTTTTATATTCTAGCGAATACGGCCACATAGCTGGGCAAATAAATCAATAAGACTCATAAAATATTTTGTTCGCGGAGTTATGTACATTTAGTTAGTCTCAGCTAAGTTTAAATAAAAGTTAAGCTAAATGTAGAATATTATGCGGGGCATAAAGTTGTTATAAATTAGGTCGCTCTGGCGATATCAGTCTGCTTGTTTAAAAAATGGTAAATACAATTAGTGTTTATCAGTCACCGTTTTCGGAGTTTGTTATCGCTCACGAACAATCTATTGCTTGGTATTTAATAACCAGTATTCATATTTTTTGAAGCCTTGAATTTAATTTAGAATCACTCCTTAAAATCCTTGTCATGTAGACATGTATATTACTGTGTAATTTATCATATACTGTATAATTATTATCAGTACTTAAATTTCTTTCAACTATTAATAATGTTGTTGTGAATGACATCTACATATTATGTGTCATATTGACAATCTAATTACAAAGTTAGTACAAGTAGAATTCTTGTAACAAAACAGAGATCG